CCTTTCCTGACATCTATGATGGCGCCTGCAGTGGCTAGGAATGGTTTTCCCAAGATCAGGGGGTCCTTTGGTTCTTCTCCATATGCTAGAACCACAAAGTCTGTGGGAATCATGCAGTTTCCCACCTTGAATGGTACATCTTCCAATATGCCTTCAAGGATCCTGACAGATCGATCTGCTAGGATAAGGGATATCCTAGTTGGCTGAAAGTCTGTCATTCCTAAGCTCACAGCTACTGAGTGAGGCATCAAACCTCTCAGCAAAGATTGTGCAGTCTAGGACAAAACTTCCAGGATCTGTCAGCTTCTCTGGTATCTTGTTATGTATCACTGCACTGACCTGTTCGGAAATCAGCATTGTCCCTTGCTCAAGCCCCAGGTTCTTGGTCATTATTCTTTTCACATACCTCCTGATCACAGGAGTAGTCCTTATATCATCAATCAAAGGAATCTCCACCACAAGTTTATCCATGATAGCTTTGATCCTAGCATCCTTTATTTCTTGTTTAGACTTCTTTGGGTTTTTCTGCGGTTCCTGAAGTCTGAACAATCGCAGGTTGCTTATGCGAGTGGTGTCGATCGACATTGGATGGTGTGTGTCGATCGATGCTAGTGTCTGCACATGGTGTCGACGTCTGGACTTGCTGCTTGTCAACCTTGGTCGATATGGCTTCGTCACGGCTCGAAGAGTCGGGAAACTCCTTTGATGTCGATCGACACTGAGTGTTGGGTGTCGATCGACACTGCTCAAAACTGGTGAAATCTTCATCTTCAAACTCCTGGAGTTGCTCGAAATCTTCTGCACTTAGACCCTTCTTCTGCATTGGTTGCAGGTTCTTTCCACTCCTCAGCGCGATGGCATTGACAGAGTGCCTTGGGTTAGTATCTGTTCTTCCTGGAAGAAATTCATCTTGTCTTTTGATAGCTACAGCAGTTTGAGCAACTTGAGTATCCAGAGTTTTGACATAGGTGTTCAGGGATTCGAATTTGCCATTCAAATCCTGGTAGAGAGCATCAATCTTTCCATTGAAGTCAACTGTAATCTTTTGCTGACCCTCTAGCAGCTGTTCAAGTATAGCTTCCATCTTACTTGAAGCTGATGGTGTAGGTGGTGACTGATAAGAAGAGAAACCATAGTTCCTGCTGAAGCTGTTGTTATGGTAAGGCTTCTGTTATTCAGTCTTCTGAAATTGAGGCTTGGGGGCGTAACCAGACGAATTATGGTTCCCTGTGAAGCTGCTTCTCTGGTTATTCCCATTGAATCCTCTTTTTCCTTGCTGATTGTTGTATCTTTGACCCTGAAAACCAGCTCCATTGATGTAGTTGACATCTTCTTCTTCAAGTTCCTGAGCTTGTTCAAATGTCTCCACTTCAGCAGCAAACTGAACAGACTTCTTGCCCACTAAAATGTTATGAACAGAGTCTAGCTTAGCCTTCATCTCAGCAGCAAATCGATTGTCCCCATCATTTCCAGCCATCTTCTGTCTCTCATAATCAGCATTTTTGGTACTGTTGCTGGAAGCCAGATTCTCTATCAATGTGATGGCGTCAGTTGGGAATCTAGTGTTGAAGTTTCCATTGCTTGCAGCATATAAAGCCATCTGGTATCTCCAATCAATACCTCTAAAGAAGATGCCCAATAGTTGTACTTCATTGTAATCATGATGTGTGCAGTCTCTTTGATGTAACTTGAACCTCAGCCATGCTGCCTCGAAAGCTTCAGTAGGACCTTGGGAAAAAGAAGCAATTTTCGTCCTCAACTCTTCTGATCTTGCATCATCATAAAAGTTGTTGAGAAAAGCGCTCTTGGTGTTCTCCCAGGTGGCCAGAGAGCCAGGCTCCAGTTGTTTCAGCCAATGAGCTGCATCTCCTCCCAAAGAGTAGGGGAAAAGCTTACAGAATAAGAAATCATTGCTGATTCCATTGGCTTTAACACTTGTAGCCAGGTCCTCAAACCTCTCTATGTGGTCCATATGATGCTCATGTGGAAGCCCATGGAAAGGATGCTGACCCACAAGCTGGTAGTAGGCAGACTTGAGTTCAAAGTCATTTTTCTGAAAGGAGGGAGGGCGGATTGGAGCTCTATTTGCATAGAACTGATCAGGCCTATTGTAATCTCCAAGGGTCCTCTGTTGAAAACGCCCAGCAGCATTTCCAGCAGCTTGTTGTTGCACATTCTGCGCAACTGGTGGCACAACTTGTTCCTCAATCACATCGCCATTCTCATCTATCCTCTGCCCTTCCTCATTCCTTCTGTTTCCTTGTCTGTCAACCAAATGACCCTCAGCATCTGTCCTAAAAACAATCGGTCCAACCATCTTAGTTTACTTCTTGGCTTTTCTAATGGTTCTTTCCAACTTGGCGAGTTTGTCGATGCATAAGGTCACAAGCTCTTTTTATTTGTTGCTTCGGGTACTGCGATTATGCATACACCTGAAACAGACAGCAGAGAAGTAACAGATAGTTAGCGAACAGAAAGTAAAACCTTAGTCAAAATTCTAAAACTAAAAATCTGAAGGTAATAACTAAGTCTCCGGCAACGGCGCCAAAATTTGATATGCTCAAATTATCCTAGAGCTACTTTCTCAAATTAAGAGATCACTGTAGTACTTAGGGGTCGAATCCACAAGGACTTAAGAGTATTACACAACATATTTTAGGTTCAAATGTAGCTAGTAAAACGAAATGGGAAATAAAAGTAACAAGAGCAGGAGCGGATTGTTAGTTCTTAAAATCAATGAGACAAGGCGCTAGGCAATGGGAAATTTGCAGGTTGACATAAATCGCAGACTACAGACTGAAAGGATAATTTATTAAAACCGTTCTAGAACTCGAAAACACGAATGTAAAACCAATCGACTTCCGTCGCAGAGATTATCTATGATCAGATTCTAGATTTCCAAATTCCTTTGCAAATTCTAACAACCTAAGCAAGCATTATAGTTCAAGTTTGATATGTTCATAAAATCACTAATCCAAATTCCTTTGTCATTAGTTATTTTGCTCATCTAAGATAGTTCTGGTGATTAACAATTCTTCCACATAAATTAAACAACCTAAGATCTGATTTCTAGGTGATTAATCTCAAAATCAGTGTTAAAACAATCTAGATGAAGAACCAAAAGATTTATAACAGTATTGCAGTTCTAACAATTCATTATCAACCTTTGAATAACCCAAAACCTAACTAGCAGATTACTCAGACATAATAAATTGAAACACAAATCATGACTGAATAATATTGCATTAAAAGATAGAGTAAAAGACAAAAGGGGTTCGAAATTCTTCTCTAACATATTACGGATTTTTCTCCCCAAAAGTTATGAATCTAATCTCTCTCTTAGTCTCAATGAATACAAGATAATAGCCTAACAATGGCTTTCAAAACATAAATACATCTCTAAATACGACTGGGGCAAGTTTACAAATAATAGGAAACTTCTGGGCTAAGTTGCAAATTCTTCAAAGAGTTTTTAAGACTCCACTTCGCGTCCACGATCAGTGTCGTTCGACACTGAGTGGCTGGTGTCGATCGACACCCTGCTCCAAAATGCTCTCCAACTTGGTCTTTACAGTATCAGCTTCAACATAGCTCCAAAAGGTCCCAAAATCTCCAATTATGCTCCAAACGTTTCTAGACCTGCAAAGACTCGAAAAAACTCGAAAAATACTAAAAAGACTCTATAAACAAGATTTATATCATGGTCAAAAACCCATAAAAACCATAATATATCAACAACGAGGATGATGGGAATGAATATCAAAGTTCCTCTTCAAATTAGAAAGTGTTTCCCCTAGCTGTCATGGTACTTATGGAAGAATAGGAATAAGTTCATCTTTGATGGAGATCTGTTTAACCCAGCGGATTCAATACTTAAGATAAAAGAGGAGTCAAATCTTTATGAATATTAGTTGCCCTGTTGATAAGCATCAAAAGAAGTGGTTGCCGCCAAGACCTAAGTGGTTGAAATGTAACATTGGTGTTTCTTGGTCGAGGCAAAGGAAATGTGTTGGTGGAGCGTGGGTCCTTAGGAACCAGTATGGACGTGTTATTATGCACAGTCGGAGAGAGTTTACTGAGGTTATGTGTAGGGATGATGCAGTTTTAAAATGTATGACTTGTGATTGGATGTGGCATCATAAAGTGAAGAATGCTGTGTTTGCAGCAGAAGCTACTATCTGTTAAAAGCTCTGTTGCATCCAAAAGCTTGGCCTTCTTTTAAGTGGGCTTCTGCTCATGTTCGTCTTTTGTTAAAAAAAGAATTATGTCTTGGTCTTTGGAAATTCCAGGTACATTTTGACCAACATTGCCGAAGTGTGACAAAGTATCGGCTGTTTCAATCGTATTTGGCAGTAGGTCATCCCTAATGGCTTAACGATCTTTATTTTTGTGAAAAAGTGTCTTTCTCTGTTCAGCCTTTGCTGTAGTTTGTGGGTGTATGACTTGGTTTCATTGGTTTTTGGTATAGTATAATGATGTTTTTTTTTTTTTTTTTTGAAAATAGATATTAGTATGATGATGTTGGTAAATGTAATCACATTAAAATCTTTCCTAAGCCGTTGTAGAAGTCGATCTTTCAGTATATATTCATGTTGACAAAAAAAAAAAATCTTTTTATGTTAATGTTGATGATTCAGGATTGGTTCTTCTTGGACACCGTTACATTAATAGTAATTGGAAACAAAGAATACGTGCACGTTAGATAGATAAAATCAGCTAATAAATCATTCATAAATATTATTAGCCAAAAGAATACTCGAAAGTTCCAATTGAAATACTTAAATTAGATTTTGAATATCTATTTATATACTTATTGTTAATTCCTACAATTTTGTTTTATAACATAAACTGAAAGTTGATATCACTTTAGAAAGTACATTTTATAAGAAAACAAAATGTAATAGTTTTTTTTTTTTAATTTACAGCAAAAGCAAATTATGTAAGAATGGCTTTAAAACATTATATAAAAATATTTTTTATTTATTAAAAATAGAATATAAAGAAAACCCGCGCGTATGCGCGGGTATTTGTCTAGTTTACTTGGAACCGTAAGCGGCGGGGGAGCTTAAGTCGCTACCTCTTCCGATCAAATTCTCTTTCTTCTTTCCTTCACTCCAAACCCTAGTTTCTCCCTTCCACGGCTCCTTTTGATCCGATCGAGATGTAAGTCTGATTGGATCTCGTTTAGTAGTCCCATGAGCAAACCTTTTGTGATTGTTGTTACTCAACGGAAAACGAAATTTCTGATTCCGATGATCGTCGAAACTTTTCTTTCAGGTCACAGGAAGAGAAAGCTATGGAAGCCATAAAAGACGCTTTAAGAGCTTTACGGAAGCGTCATCGTCTTGAAGAAGGAGCTCATGGTCCCGCGATTTCTGCTCTCTCTAGACCTCTTATCTCTCAGGTACCTTGTTCCTTTTCTCCATTTTGATTTAGGTTTCAGCAATTCGATCATTTATAGGAGTCGAATTCCATAACAGTTGCTTGTAAGCTGTTCAATTTTTTAGGTTTATTCAGTTCCATTTGCTAGTATAGGCATGTAAAAACATTGAGAGATTAAGGTTCTGTATCTGATTTGCACTATGGAATGTTATATTTCTTATCAGCAGGAAGTATAAAGGTTTTTGTTGAAATCTTCGTGGATTCTTGCTGGGCGTTTTCATTGAATTTCTTTAATCAAGAGAATTTGTGTATATCTCAATATGTTTGTTCATTTGATTTTGTGAGTTTGTCTTTTCTACTCTGCCTTTTTAGATTCAGTAGTTCTTAGAGGCTTCTGTTGTTTCCTTTTCTAGTCGATTCCTCTGCTTATGTCCCTCGAAATGGATGAAAACATGTTTTTTTTTTTAAAATAGTTTGCTTCGAAGTTCGTATTGAATCTTCTTGTTATGGTTCAGCATCTCAGTAGATTCTAATCATGTTCTCATATGTGTTGTCTATACGCATGTAGGGGTCAGAATGGAAGGAGAAAACAGAAAAACTGGAAATAGAGCTACAGCAATGTTACAAAGCGCAATCACGATTGTCCGAACAACTCGTGATAGAAGTAGCTGAATCCAGAACTTCAAAGGCTTCTTTAGAAGAGAAGGAAGTGTTAATTAATGACCTGCAGGAGGAACTAACCCAAACAAGGTCAGAAATGGTTTTGCAATTACTATAAGGAATTAGGTTGGGCGATTCTTGAAACTGTTGCGCTGTAGGGAGGAATGTACACGGTTACAAGAAGAGTTAGAGGAAAAAACAAGAACGCTTGATTTACTTATCGCTGAAAACAAGGAAGCCCGATCTCAGCTGGAGCAGATGACAGATAGAGCGCAAAAGGCGGAGTCTGAGAACAAAATGTTAATTGATCGATGGATGTTACAGAAGATGCAGGACGCAGAACGTCTTAACGAGGTACTTAAGGACTTAATCTTCACTATAGTCTATTAATGGTAGAACTTCTTCGATTTGGTTAGTTTTGGAATTCAATCTTTTTGTTTCTTGCTTAGGCAAATGCTCTCTATGAAGAGATGCTAGCTAAGCTTAAAGCCAATGGTTTAGAAAATCTTGCTAGGCAGCAAGTCGATGGAATCGTCCGCCGGAACGAAGATGGAACCGATCACTTTGTTGAGTCAACCATTCCGTCAACATGTGGCCACCGTATCCACGCTCACGAAGGTGGCTGCGGTTCAATACTCTTTGAGTACAACTCCGGCACTCTCTTCACCGGTGGGCAAGACCGGGCGGTGAAAATGTGGGACACGAATAGCGGGTCCCTAATCAAAAGCTTACACGGTTCCATCGGGAACATACTTGATCTAGCCATAACTCACGACAACAAATCCTTGATCGCAGCGAGTAGCTCGAACAATCTGTTTGTGTGGGATGTTAACTCCGGTAGGGTGCGTCACACACTCACAGGCCACACCGATAAAGTCTGTGCTGTGGATGTGAGCAAGTTATCGAGCCGACATGTCGTTAGTGCGGCTTATGACCGTACCATCAAACTCTGGGATTTGCAGAAAGGTTACTGCACCAACACGGTGCTCTTTGCAAGTAACTGCAACGCGATCTGTCTCAGTATAGACGGGCTTACGGTGTTCTCAGGCCATATGGATGGGAATCTTAGGTTATGGGATATTCAAACGGGGAAGCTTCTCTCTGAAGTAGCGGGACATTCTTCTGCTGTGACCTCGGTATCGTTGTCCCGTAACGGGAATAGGATCTTGACTAGTGGCAGAGACAATTTGCATAATGTGTTTGATACACGGACTTTGGAGATCTGTGGGACGTTGAGAGCTTCAGGGAATAGATTGGCTTCGAATTGGAGCCGGTCGTGTATAAGTCCCGATGATGATTATGTTGCTGCAGGTTCTGCTGATGGGACGGTTCATGTATGGTCTATATCTAAAGGTAATATTGTGAGCGTTCTTAAGGAGCAAACGTCTCCTATACTGTGTTGTTCTTGGAGTGGGATTGGGAAACCATTGGCATCGGCTGATAAAAATGGGTATGTTTGCACATGGACATGATTGTTTTAAACGGTTTTAACACTGGTTTGATTACTCAAGTACGTCTTTGTTTAGAAAAGGATGGACGTATGTGTGTATACTCTTGTCTTGTCTCGTGGTGTTCTTTCCCTCAAAGAACTTGCGTTTGATGAAATGTTTCCGACGTGTATAGAATGGTTTTTTCTTAATGTTCATTTTCAGTGTATTTGCTCAATTGTTTGAAAAACATAAGCATTAGCACAATACCAGTTTGCTAAAACCTATCCGGACTGGAAGAACTGAATTGACAAACCGAATTCAGAGCAATCTAATTAAACCGCATAATTATAAATATTCTAATAATTATTTTCTTTTAAATATTTTGGATTTCAAGGTAAATATTGATACTGTTGGGATCGATTTTATTACATATAATGATGATGCGACATATAGACATTGAACTGCCCTAAAGACTGGTATACGTTACATTAGTTCAGTCGAACCATTTCTATATATTATTCTTATGCAGTTAGCAAGCTTTTCCAAACAAGTATGAATCATTAGTTCACCTGCTTTTTTGGCGCTAAATAGAGAAGACAGGACAAGGAGAAAGTTAGTATAAAAGGAGAGACCACTACACCAGAAAAGGATTGACTCGGCGGATCCGAAACCCCTCTCAAAGGAGGAGGTGCTTGACCAAACCGGATCGACCCGCACCGCCGAACAGCATGAATAGCATGATCGAGGGAGAACCCCTTGTTCTCCCGAGAGAATGCCTACCAGGATAAGTCTTTCTCGTCCCGAAACCTTGTCTTTATACTTGCTGAACCTCCCTCTTTCTGTATAGAACCCTTCTCAAAACACTCGCAAACAGATAAATGTCTCGATCCCCAGACGAGACTTCTCACTTAAACCCGTATAAACAACCTCCTGAGTACTTGTTCCTGGTAGGGCATTCATTGCCTTGGGCGTCGGAGAACTTTCGGAAGGGAAACCCCTTTTCGGTCTTCCCGGAGGTCCGATTGACCTTTTATGTAGTGTTTGCAGGACAGCATACATCGACCTCCTCACTAACTGGACTTAGGCAGGCTTCCGCCCCAGAACAACTTGTCGTATTTCCTCCCAGAGGACGAAACTCGGAGGCCTGGCTACACTCCCCAGACGAATCATACACTCCTACGTGGCATCCCGAAATTTGCTCCCGAACAGTTGGCGCTAGAAGGAGGGGGGATCACCGGCGAGCGTTCCACGAAGAAAGAAGTCCACACGGGTCAACTATGCGAAAAACACATAAGGCCCGCAAGCCGTGGTTCAACTCAACAAGACTCAAGACTCCGAGACCATCACGCGTACTGGCCCCAAAGTCAAGAAGTCAGACCCACTAAACGAAGCAAAATACGAAAAAAGTGCATAAAACACGAGGATATACAAAGCAAATTGAAGTGCATTAAAAAAGAGAAACAAGCCAAAAACAGCCGCCGATCCAGGTTTAAAGTCACAATTTACAAGGGACAAAAGTCCCCAAAAGAAAACATTGTTTATTTTAAAAACCCGGCGGGCGTGAAGATCATGCCGGTGAAGAAGGGCCCGCACCTCCAGCGCCTCGTGCCGCTCCTAAAACATCCGCTCCTTGCGGCCTGTTCCATCGGCGCTCCTCCTCAAGCTCTCGCTTGAGCATGCAGATCATTGTCTGGCTGTTCGTGAAAGTCTTGCTTGCCATCAGCGCCACATCTGTTTTGGCCCCAGGAGCGAACCCTCGGTATACCATGAGTGTTTGGCGGAGCGTCTGCACCTCCGAGTTACGAGCCTCTAAGTCCCGCTAGCTGTTCGTCAGCGCCAGCATCAAGCGCTCCATCTCTGCACTCAGATCCTCCCCCAAGCGGAAGTATGGGCCTCCGCGAGCTGGGTCCAGATCACAAGGAGTTCGGCCTGAACCTCGCTAGCCCTATCAATGCCACGTTCACGGTGCTCGACCGCATGGAGTTCGTGCTCCAGCTTCTCAAGCGAGCGTTGACTCTGTCAAAAGCAAAGAAACAAGTAAAACAACAACCAAGAGACGAAAAGGGAAGAAGTCCCAAGGAGATCTTACCGCGTTCAGCGAGCGTGTGAACTCCAAGGCAGTCAGCCGCCACCCGGTGAGTTCGTGGGTCGAGGGAGCGATCGTACGAGGAGGCACGGACATCGGCCCCGGCTCCGAGGAGACGCTCATCGCCTTCGGCGAGCTCGGCACAGCAGGGATCGGAGTCGCAGCCCGTGCGGTTTTGGATGTCCTAGCAGTCTCCAGGTATACGGGGGCATCCGCCTCTCTCAAGAACTCGCTGCTGGAGAAGGAATCAGACTCCATAGAGGTAAGTCCGAGGCAGACGAGAGAAGGTCCATGGGACCATATCGCTCTCACCACGGGGGACCCAGTGAGGCGGCTCTGGCGCGAAGGCCGGGACAAAGCCTCCTTGATGGAAGAGTCAGCACGGAGCCTCCGGCGTGGCGTTTGAACAGGTGTTCACCGCGCACTCTAGGTAACCCTCGAATTGGGCAGTCAACCTCCCGGGGGCATAAAGCCCCCACACTTCCTCGATCTGGTCCCAGGAACCTGCCAAAATAGAATCAGCCAACAACGTCCGCAGAACTAACGTAGAAAGAAGGTCAAGATCATTACAATGCTATAAGCTAAGCAAGATGGGGGTTTTGATTATGCAAGAGCAAACTAACAGCCTAACAATGCACGAAAGATAAAACATGAAGTGAAATGCAATTGACCAAAGACTAAGCAAGATGAAACTAAAGCAAGAACTAAGCAAGATGAAACTAAATAAGTACTAAGCAAGATGATTACTGAAAATAAGCAAGCAAAAGTAAATAAGCAAAGCGGTTTTAAGATAATTAAGGGAAAAGCAAGATCTAAGGTCCTTAGCAATAATGGTCAAGTGGTTTTCAAAAGTGACAAATGGAATTTCTAAACAAAGGCAAACACGAAGCATTCATAAGCAAGCAATTCTCAATGTTGTAATCATAGACAAGGTATCTAAGGAAAGATCATCCTAGTGGTTAATAGGCAGACCCAATTCAATAAGACTAGAGTGTCAAACCCACTTTTGATGGTGTATTCTCTAATCATGAGCATAAAGAGCAGAACCATAAAGCCTAAAACATGAACTAATTAAGTAAACATCTCTCACACAAGCAAAAATTCAGATCAACCTATCAATCGTTTGAACCATATAGGGACCTATGCAGCTAAGTCAACTAATCATGAACATAGATTCAAGCTCACAATTGCAAACATAACAATGCTAAGCAATGAACATAAATTAAGCAAAATCATGTTCTTTCAAAGCATACTGTCTAACCATCAAGCAAGAGTCTCATAATAAGCACTATCTAGCCCTAAGCAAATCATCTAGCAAGGTGAACTATCACTTTAGTGTCACTGAACAAAGGAAACATAAACCAAGCTAAACTATCAAGCAAAATACGTGAATCATGCAAAGAACAAGACTTCAAACCATCAAGTGAATCATATGCATCAACAATACCATAATCAATCAAAAAGAAGAGACTTTATGAAAAATAATCACTTTGCAAGAGAAGGAAACAACAGAAAATAAACTAATCAAGCCTAATCACCCCTTAATCACATCTTAATCACCACTTTCCCTACTTAAAACCTCAAATCGAAGGTAAACTACTCACTAATCATATTTAATCCTATTTGATTAGAGTTAAATATGATTATATGAGATTAAATGCAAAGAAAATGAAACTAAGTTACCAGGATTCTAAATCAAAGATCAGAAGACAGGATTAAACCATAAAAATGCTAACTTGATTAAAGAAAATGAAAATGTTTACAAGCTAGGGCAAATCGCTCTTTTTGAGTAAGCAAGAGATAAGATGAGTCATAGAACAGATAATGACATAAGAATAAATTTGATGGCTTCCCTTTTATAGCAGGGAACCAAAAAGGAAGGAAAAACCTAAAAATAAGATAAGGTCAACGATAAAATCCGGTCAAACACGCGGATAAGTTGTATCAGGGTGGTACATACGGTGTTCTGCTCGATGCACCACCCCGATATGGTCTGTGCAGCCTGTATCAGCTTGTGCATGATTTCCCTGCTCTCTGCAGCACCTCGATGTAGACAGTGCCTTAAGCTCCAAGAATCAGACCACTTCTTGACGCATTTTGGCTTGCATCGGGCAGACTCCATGGAGGTTTTGCTCGATGCTCCATCTCGATATGGGACCAGGCTTGGCAAATCTCCTTCTTTGGTATCTCTTCGAACATGAGCTGCTTCCATCTCCTCCCAAAACTCCAAGAATCTCCAAAAGCACTTGAGAAACACCACAAACATGCAAATGTATGCATATGTATGCAATCCTAATCTAAATGCATGCAATATTGATTCTAAGTGCAAATGAGACTAAAATGCTAAACTAGTATGTAAGAACAAGGGAAAAGATGCATAAAATGCAGCCTAAAATGCTCCAATATAGCAAGCTATCGACGCCCTCACACTTAGCTTTTGCTTGCCTTTAAGCAAACAAAAACTTAACATGGAGATGAGGTTTTAAAATGGAAACTCATATTTCTAAAAATGCGAACAATAAATCAAAATGAACTCCATGTTCTTAATTCTAGAATGCACTTTATGGAAGAATACTTTAAACACTTACTTTCATCACACAACAAGAATGATCACAATGTTATAAGCCTACACATACTCAACAAATCAAACAACCTTTTTAACATTCAATTAAGCTCAAACCGTGAATCATGCTTATGTAAATGCAAATGTGTCATTTGGCTAAGGGACAAGGCTTAGTGAAATAAAATGATTCCACTTATCCAACTGGTTTTGGTGTTTCAAGGGTTCTCTCAATGAAAAGCATGGCTGTGCTTTGGCAAAATGCTAAGGATCAAAGAACAACTTACACATACAAAGGAAGATTTCCATCTACCCAAGACCCATAAGAAATGTTCATAAATCTAGCTAAATAATGTAAACCCGCCTAAGCTACCCTTTTTAGAACTTTAAACCCAAATAGAAACCCAAAAACTCTTCTCTTTTAAGCTCTTTGGAGGACACTTCTTCTTTGAATCTTTATGTGGTGGAGGTTTTCATCTTTGAACTTGGCTCCTTTTATTTGTTGATGCTGGTGCTGCTTTTGCCTTTGGCTTTTTGATTTATTTGCTTTACACTTCTTGCACCTTCTTTTCTTTTTCTTTGAGCCTTCTCTTTATTTTGAACTTTGAACCGCCATTTCCACCATTACTTGTG